GAACCATTCTTGCAACCCCGTAGGCTGTGTAAGTTGTCTCAGAGTTGGTTTTTAAACAGTGAGTCCTGATCCTAACTATAGATTCTGATGCGTTAGTGTTTAATTCATTAGATTTTTATGTGCATATCGACGAGGTTCCCTGCTGACCAAACATCTGGTATCAAAGTGCAAGTTTAATTCGTCTTTGTGCACTATTCGAATTAGGACTTATGTGGCATATGTGAATTAATTGTATACTGATGCAGCTCATAGTAGATTAGAATTTTAAATAATTGATTGTTTGAAGGTGTTCTTGAATCCGACTATTGTGAACTGTATAAATGTGTTTTAATTCATATGTTTTGTAATCCTCGAACATGTCGGAGATTTTTAGGTTGGTGAATGCTTGCAATAATTTATTCGCAGTGAGACACTTCATAGTTTAAATGCTTTACTAGATCATTCATTTACGACCATTGTAAGGGTCATAGATTGAATTATATAATTGTTATTATATTGATTCAATTTGACCCAGTGGACACGGACGAGCCCGGATGATGGAGACGATGACCGGCATCTCCCGACGAGATGAGCCGAGCTAACCGCGAACTTGTGACGAACGACATACGTGATGTCGTAGGCACGCGGGCGCACCCGTTGGGTGCGACCACAGGTGCTGCTGAGATATGCCCATCGCACATGCATGAGGCCAGCGTGACAGCACGCAGGCGACGGTGGATCAGGCGAGGATATGCAGTGCTATGGCGCTGAGCACGGACAAGTGCCACGAGCGAGCAACTTATTTGTTGGAGCTTGTGCACGCACCCACTGCTGAGGCTTAGGTGTCGTATTACTGTGATAAATTTAGATGTACTATATTTAGTTAACTTGTAAGCAAGCACAACCTAAGTTTTTACAGAAAGTAATTATTATTATTCTTTTTATTTTTTTAAATTTCTACAGAAAGTAATTATTATTATTCTTTTTATTTTTTGTTTTTATTTTTTTTTGTAAGTTTCTACATAAAGTAATTATTATTATTCTTTTTATTTTTTTGTCCATACAAGTGGAAACCCCCTAACAATTATGTGGATGGGGTTAGGATATTTTTTTTTGGTAATTTATGGCTTTTAACAGCTCAACCAATGAATGCAAGAAAGAATGTTATGATGACATCAACTTTTTCTAATTAATCATTGTTAGCTCGCTAGAGACTATTCATTCAAACCTCAACATGGTGAAGATTATTTCAAGTCAGGATAAACTAGTAGAGTTCCGTTGAAGATTGATCAACTATTAAGTTAAGCTAAGCTAAACTAAAGTTGGAAACGTGAGAGCCAATTTTCTGGGCCCCAACATTTTCATGTTCTTCTAATTGGGCTATTGCTTGAGTCAAGCCCACTTCTCCTACTCCGCCATCTTTCTTTTTTTCTGCCATAATCCTTTTGGTGGATCGGTAAAAAGTAGCATAGAGCAATAACTGGGCCAGCCCTAGTAGCCCTCCTATCCCATTAGGTGCCTGCCATTAATTAAATCCAAAATCCAAAAATTAGAATAACTTAGGCGATAAACACAAAACAAGAACTTATTTGTATATTCTAAACTTACGGCGATGAAGATATCGAATCTGATAAGCGCATAAGCCGTCCAACTAATTCCGTTGAGGAAGGAGAAAAGGGAAAGAAAAAATGGCATATACTCCACGCTTCTTGTCTTGATCACCAGTTTCTGATGAGACAAAGAGTCAATTTCCCATTAATTAATTAGACCCTATCAAATTAAATGGAGCTGATTGTTTTAGTTAATTCTTATTTATAATATATATATATATATATATATATATATAATTACTGGCAAAACACAATAAATTTTATTCAGTCAACATTTAAACATTTAAATATGAGTTCATTTAAACTATTCATTTATCTTAAGCGTTAATTAAATATGAGTTCATTTAAACTATTCATTTATCTTAAGCGTTAATTAGTAAGCTCATTGATTTTAGTGATATAA